ATACATTGCTAAATACGGATTGGGAAAAAAGAAGTTAAAATTAAGAAGTTCTATAACTTTGTTTTCAACCAGAAAAAGAGTATTTTCATCAATTTTTCTTTTAAAATAAAAATTAAATTTCTCTATGAATTTTTCTTGAATATCCTCAATCTTTAAACCAATAAAAATACAACAACAACACATCTCTATATGGTCCAAATTAAATTCGTTTTTAATCCTAGAATATAATTGTAACGAGGTACTTCTTACACCAAGCGGTAAGTTGAAGTCACACGTGAAATTTATTATTAAAGATTGAACAATCATTCAGGGGTTAAAAAAAGGAGGATATTCACAACAACTCCTTTATTTTTTTAAAAGTATTGTTGTTAGAATTTCTATGGGAAAACAAGAAAAGGATAAAGAAAATAACGAAATTGCAGTATCTAAAATTTTTGATTTGTTAAAATCATTTAGTGGTAATAAATGCAATATTTTGGTATCAGATGGCATAGTAGTAAATAATTTTGATAGTAAAATCTTTTTGGAATTAGATTCGACTAAATGGAAATTGTTTTACTTGTCAATTGATCAAAATGATCCCAAAAAAGAAATATATGAACCAATAAGAAAAAATACGTATATTACCGAAACATGTAAAGAGATTACTTTCGAAAATGGCGTTAGAGGGTATCTTAGAAAGTTAGAACCAATTGATGTTGGTATAATTGGTAGTGATATAAAAATATGCAAAGACAAAAACATATGTATTGTTAAAAATAAAAGTATAAAACTCACTCAAACTTTTATCGACAAGTTTGTTAAAAAACTTTGTATTATTTCTAAGAGCAACTCTGTTATTAAATCAGAAGAAATACCCGGAGTGATAGTAATATCAAATGAACAATCTGACATAGGATTTTTTCAGAAAATTTTTAAAAGGATTAAAAAAATAATCTAATAAAATTAATTTTCAACAACTTCTATTTTTATTATAAATTTTTAAAAGTTAAAAATTATATGGAATGAAAAAATATGTATAAAATTTAAACAAATAGTTTATAAAAAGTAAGATTGGGAAATAATTTATAATTTAAGAAACTTAGAAAATTTTTTTGTTTAAGCAAAAAATATGAGATAAAGTGGAAAATTTTTCTACAAAAAATTAAGCAATTCAATCAATCTTTATAAATTAAAAAATCATATAAAGTCATATTAAACCTAGATTATTTTACAAACTAATTTTAATAAAGTAAGATAACTTAAATTCACCAATTCTTTTGTAAAACTTAATAACATATTTGCAATTATTCAACAAACTTTTGATGTTTTGAAAATTAACATTAGTAGTATAGTTTACAATCCCTTCACAATAATTTACGATTAAGTGTATACATCTTTAGTTATTACTGGTTTCTAAATACCCACTAATTTTTGTGATTAATTGTTTCGGAAAAAAGTTGAACTATTATTATCCGTATGTAATTATTTTTAGGAACAAGATGAAATGAAATGTTATCTATGTAAATAAAATAATAAATAGTTTAAATATCTAAATTTTTATCGTTTGTTGCTTACCTTGATAATATTTATGTTTATGTTTAAATAAACTTTCGTCTATCTACAAAACCATGTTATCTTTTTTTAAATTAACCGATTTTCAGTCTTATGTTTATGACATTAATTTCAGAGTAAATCAATGATTTTAATATTTGATCTTTTCTTATTATTCACCTATATGCTTATTTGTAGGTAATGTGATAATTAAGCCATTTACAACATACTTAATTATATGTCTTAGAGGCACAATATAATCCAGTGGAAGTAAATCAGTGAATATTAAAGTATATGCAATAAAATTTTACAATGTTTTAACATAATACCATTACTATTTTTATGTATGGATTTTTTTTCACTTTTTAAAGAAATTATATCACTTAATACATTTTTTAGGATGCTTTAGTGTAGTGAAATCTATCAGATTTTAAACAATGGTTTTAGTACACCACTATACTAATCAATCATGGGTTAAAAATTTTATTTAAAGCTTTTATTAAAATAATAAATTTAAAAGAAAATATAAATTTTACAAAGTTTACATTTCGCTGTTATCTGTAAGTAAACATTTTATTAAGTGTTAAGAATTAATAAATAATATTGAAGATAGCTTTATAATAACAAAAATGGATTTTAAATCACTTGAAGTGATTTGGATTAAAATTTTTTATGTAAAAATAAAATTAATAATGAAAATAGTTATGTTATTAGATACTTTGCAAAATATAACCTTTTAAAACAGTTAAATGTTTGGGATTAAAACCAAAAAACAATTGAAGATTTTTAATAAACATTATAAATAAAGTCAAAGAACTTTTTCAACTTGATTATTTGTTAGAATGGATTTAATAAAGTATAAAAAACTTAATTTTAATTATTTTAGTGATTATAGTTTTTTAACACTTAACAAATGTTAATTTTCTCCTTTGTCATTATTTTTAAGTTAGAAACAATTTTTTTATAATTATAATAAAAATATTTTGATTAAATATTATTTAGTCGTTTACTTTTATAAAAACAACTTTTATTTTTCTTTAGTAATTTTTGAAATATTTTCAAAAATCCTTTTATTTTTTATAAAATTCTCTTTTAGATTTATTTTATCACAGCACAGCAGTTTTTATTTTTTTTAAAGACTAATTATTTTTTTATACACCTCAAAGATTATGTTTTTTTATATTTGAAATCTCTTTAAAATGAATTATTTTCTTTATAAACATATTTTAAAATTTATAATTTCATCTAATAAAATTTATAGTCCTAAATTATTTTATTTGAAATGTAATATGAAATATTTACAACATCATTTTTGTTAATTTTATTTGCTATATTTCTAATGTTTTTGTTTTATATATATAGTTAATTTTTATTTTATATTAGTCAAATAAGATTTTTTATTTCTTAATAAACAATACAATGTTTTGATGAATATACAGTAAATTTCAAAATAAAAAAACATCCCATTTTTTTCTTCTAACTGCAGAAAATCTATTAAAAATATATAAATTTTATTGCTTATAGTAAATTAACATGTTTTTTTTAAACTTAAATTATTTAATTTGTTAAAAATATAATAAAATAATCAGAAATAAAAAATTTATAAATATTATATTTCAAAATAAAAAAGCATAATAAATTTAAAAAAGAGTATGTTTACCTTTTGCTTTGTAAATCTCAAGAGCACGTTTATGAAAACTATTAAAACAATTCTGCAACATATTTGCATCAATTGAATATTAAATTCCTAATATTCTTTCTTGTTTAATTTACCGAAAACTGCTAGTTTTCTCTTTATGTAAGCCCAAATATACTCTTTTGGGTT